GGACCCCCAGAATTGGCAGGGTGGGACCCCATGAGGTTGTTTCCCGGAATTGGCAGGGTGGGACCCTATCTGAGTGGGACCTTATCGAGGCAGGGTGGGACCCTATCTAGGGCCACCTGGTGCTAATTTTTTAAGTTTTATGAGGCCTAGTTTCAGAAGAAAGGCCTGGGCTCTGACTCAGCTCACCACATCAACTTCCACCGTTTGCCTACCAGCCCAGCCCACTCTCCCACTTCTGGCAAGAAGGGAATCTTGGCCCAGGAAGGAGGGGCTCACACGCCTCTCCCAGAGTTCACATTGTTTTTCTCTCAGGCCCCAGCCCTGGTACCTCTCTCACCTAGCAAACACAGAAGGTCTCAGCTCTCTACAGGAGAGACAAACACTTTTACCATTAATTGCTCAGGCTTTTACCAGCATGGGGTGGACCCTGCTGCCTTCCGGGCCATATTTAACCAGAAGGCCTTCTGTCCGGTCATCAACTCCAGCCTCCCCGCTCATGTCAACATCTCCTTCACCCTGTCTGCCATACTGGAAGTGGTGAGACCTGATCCCTGCATCCTTTCCATGGCTTCTAATAAGGAACAAACACTCCCTTTTTGTTGCTGTTTTTTTTTTTTTGAGACAGAGTCTCACTCCGTCGGCCAGGCTGGAGTGCAGTGGCACGATCTCGGCTCACTGCAACCTTTGCCTCCTGGGATCAAGCAATTCTCCTGCCTCAGCCTCCCGAGTAGCTGGGAATACAGGCATGTGCCAACACACCCGGCTAATTTTTGTATTTTTAGTAGAGACGGGGTTTCACCATTTTGGCCAGCCAGTTTCAGACTCCCGACCTCAGGTAATCCACCTGCCTCAGCCTCCCAAAGTGCTGGATTACAGACGTGAGCCACCGCGACCAGCCGGAACAAAAACTCTTTACATGGTCAACCCAACATTGCCCTGGTTCGGTGATGAGCAATGAATCCCCTGAAAGAATTTTGTGCAAGTTAGATGCTCATCCTGTGTCACGGGGAAACATGAACAGGAATGCTGCAGTAATATTTCTGTAGGGAACATTTATCCTTGAGTCCTGCCCTTGTGGAAATATTCTACAAAAAAAGGCATTCCCAATGAGCTCCCGTACTGTTTTTTCACCTACATTTTCCATGCAACCTGTATTTTTCTGACCTACCCTTCTTTTGTGACTTGTGATTGAAAAGGTGAACTGTCACTTGGGACCACTTAGGAAACAATGGTGGGAGGTAGATTAGGTCCTGGTTTCATGCCATGAATGATCCTGCATGGGAATTTTATTTATTTATTTATTTATGGACAGAGTGCACAACTTTAGCTGCTGTTGTCATTTCTGTGGTTAAATATGGTATGTGAGTGAGATTCAGTTTCCTTCTCTCTTTCTCCTACCCTTTTTTTTCTGGCTTTGCTTGCAAAATCATGTTTATTGAAATTGACAGTGCCTGAGGGCATAAATAAATACAACCAGGATGGGGCCAGTGTTGACAACAAATAGCTTCCTAGGCTGCCAATCAACTTTGAAAGACATAGATATAAAACACAGGGAGAAGGAGGGCATTTAGTTGGAAGTCCCAAAGTAAGCTTCAGGGCCCAGATGTAACCAGCGTCCAGCTTAAGATATCCCTAAAGTGGGAGGTGAAAGGCCAACAAGATTTTGTTAGCTAGAAAAGGGGAGACAGTTATCACCAAGGAGAGAAAAGAAATCAGAATTCAAAAGGATATGAGGGGCTGGGCACAGTGGTTTATACCTATAATACCAGCACTTTGGGAGGCTGAGGTGGGAGGATCACTCAAAGCCAGGAGTTTGAGTCCAGCCTGGGCAACACAGCAAGATCCTATCTCTATAAAAAAATTAAAAATTAACTGAGTGTGGTGGTACATGCCTGTAGTCCCAGCGACTCAGGAGGCTGAGGTGGGAGGATTGCTTGAGACCAGGAGGCTGCAGTGAGTCATAATTATGGCACTGCACTCCATCCTGAGCAATAGAGTGAGACCCTGTCTCTAAAAACTTTTTTAAAAAGGCCGGACGCCATGGCTCATGCCTGTAATCCCAGCACTTTGGGAGGCCGAGGTGGGTGGATCACGAGGTCAGGAGATCGAGACCATCCTGGCAAACACGGTGAAACGCTGTCTCCATTAAAAATACAAAAAATTAGCCAGGCATGGTGGCGGGCGCCTGTAGTCCCAGCTACTCAGGAGGCTGAGGCAGGAGAATAGTGTGAACCCGGGAGGTGGAACTTACAGTGAGCCGAGATCGCGCCACTGCACTGTAGCCTGGGCGACAGAGCGAGACTCTGTCTCAAAAAAAAAAATTTTTTTAAAAAGGAAATGAGGTGGAGTCATGGCTAAAGTGCAGCAAAAAAGAGAACAAAAAAATTTTTTTAAGGAAATGAGGTCAAAAAAGCAACATGCATAACAATATGCCTAGTATGATTCTATCTATGTAAATAAAATGAGTACTGAACCAGGCGTGGTGGCACACTCCTGTAATCCCAGCTACTTGAGAGGCTGAGACAGGAGAATCGCTTGAACCTGGGAGGCAGAGGGTGCAGTGAGCCAAGATCGAGCCATTGCACTCCAGCCTGGGGCGACAGAGTGAGGCTCCATCTCAAAAAAAAAAAAAAAGTGTTGGAATATATATTGTTATTATTTGTTGGATGATACACAAGAAAATGTTAATAATGAGACCGAGGTGGGATAGGGAGTGAATTGGGGTGAATTGAGGAGGGAGAACGTGGCTTTATATATTATACCATTGTGGAATGGTTAAAGTTTCATCATATGCCCATAGTACCTACATTTAGAAAAAAATACATATGTATGTATTTGTAAAGGAATGGAAGGGCAGGAGATGCTGACATAAGCCAGTTCCGGACTTCAACCATACCACATCCTTCTGTGCCCTGTGCTCTAGATCTGGGAAAACCCACTCAGCAGCTGGGACCCAGAAGAATATGGTGATATCAATAAACTCACTGTGACAGCTGAGAATCTGTGGTTCCCAGACATCTTCATCATGGAATCGCAGGAGGGCTAGGGAAGCTGGAGGGAAGCCCTGTCTGCAAGGAACAGGCCAGGACAGTGCAGGGCAAACTCATTCAGTGCAGCCACTAAACACTTACTTCAGAGAGAAGCAAGATCACAGCTGATTAGCTTCTCCCCTAGAAACAAGAAAATGGCGGGCAGAAAAGATGGTGGCAGGTGAATTGCTTGAGCCCAGGAGTTTGAGACCAGCAAAACCCTGGTCTCTACAAAAAATACAAAAATCAGCCAGGCGTGGTAGTGCACACCTGTAGTCCCAGCTACTCAGGAGGCTGAGATGAGAGGATCACTTGAGCCCAGGAGTTTGAGGCGACAGTCAGCTCTGATTGTGTCACTGCACTCCAGTCTGGGTGACAGAGCACAATCCTGTCTCAAAAAAAAAAGGTAAATCCAGTTTTTTAAATACATTAAAAGAACAGTAGGGTATTTGTGTAGATAGTGAGGTGGGAGTTGAACTTAGGAGTGACGGCAGCAGTGTCCTGTCTGGAGCACCACTGCCATCACGCCGACTGTAGCAGGGAGGCACAGCCGGGCTGCACACTCCACTGAGCAGACACTGAGCACACTCCACTGCACACTCCACTGAGCACTCACTGCTCTGAGTGCGTGCACACCCAACCAGGCTCTGACAGCATCCGGGTTCAGCCTTGACTTTGCTTCGAGATCGGAGCAGGCACCGACGGCAGGGAGAAGCCAGGCAGTGAAAGCAGGCATTTCCAAGCCTGCAAGAGCAGGGAGTGGGACCTTCCTGGGCCTCCAAGAGTACAGGCATACCTGGGTCTGCACGCACTCAGAGCAGTGCTGACACACCAACCCCCTGCCACCTTGGCCCCCTCCAGACTTTGGGTACCAAGGAGCACAGGAGGGAAGCTGAGGGGGGCACTGAGGGCATCTCGGTGCTGGCCTGCAGGCACTCCTTGGCACCTACAGCCTGGGCACCATGAACAGCAGTGAGAGGCAGACAGGTTCCTGGGCGGAAGGGGGCGGGTTCCTCATGAGGCCCCACCTTCAGGCCAGGGAGTGCCTGAAGGTTGAGGATCAGGCTGCAAGTTCCACACACTGGAGTGAGAACTTGTGGTGCTTTTTGCAGGCCTGCCCTTGGCCGCCCATGGACCAATCGGCATGCACTTCCTCACCTCTAAGGCCCACGAAAGCCCCAGGCTCAGCCAGAGCTGAGCAGACATCCGAATGACCGGCTGCAGAGAGGAATTACTCACTCCAGGGCCTCCTCTCTGCTGAGAGGTGCAGACGGCAGGAAGACCAGCTGCAGAGAGGAGCTATTCACCCCAGGGCCTCCTCTGAGCTATTCTGTCACTCAATAAATCTCCTCTTCATCTTGCTTACCCTCTGCTTGTCTGCTTACCTCATTCTTCCAGGACACAGGACAATAACTCAGGACCTGCCCAATGGCAGGACTGAAACACAGCCCTTGCTCACCAAGTTGTGGCTGAAGAGGAGAGAAGAGCTGCAGCCCTTCGGGAAGCCCAGACCCGGGAGCTCCCAAAACCAGGGCTGTGACTCCCTCTTTGAGGCCCTGCAGTCCCTGGAATCTCCAAGCTTCCAGGTGTTATTGTGTTCCCCCGGCGGCAGTCATGGAAGCTGCTTACGGTGTGCCTGGTCCAGCCGCAGCCTTGCAGACAGCCAGCAGCCATGTCAGCACCTGGAGCTGCCCACTGCAGCAGCTGGTGTGCCTGACTGTGCACAGTGGCCAGACTCCACACTCACTCACTCACACACTCCTCGCCACTCCATACCTGGCTTGCCCTTGGAGGGGTGGGATCCAGGCTGGTAGCATGAGCCAGGTGCAGCCGGTCAAGCCGAGTGGGCAGAATGAGCCTAGTGGACCCAAGCAAAACTCAGACAAAGGCACCACTGGCCACAGAGGTTTCCGGCCAGAAAAGTGACACCCTAAAGATCCTGCAACAGAAAGGAGTGAGACACTGAGACACCCCAGAATAGAAAGGAGGCAAATAAGCAGCAAGGAAGTCATTATATTGGGCAATCTGGAAAAGGTAGCTGAATTAGTTTTCTAATTCATCACACCCGCACGAGCAGGTGCCAGGCAGATGTGTGTTGAATAAATGTTTGTCTCTCCTGCAGGGGATAACATGGGCATGGACAAGGAAGTATAGGAAATAGGTACTTCAAGTGACACTGTCCAAACACAGTGGAAGTGGGAGCTCCTGGGCATCAACAAGGCCACCCTGAAGATATCTGTGGGTTCCAGTCTTTTTGACCAAATCATGTTGTCTGTGAACCTAGAGAATCTGGCATAGTTGTACCCCTCACTACCACCTCCTCCCTCACCAGACCCATCTGAGTCCAACAGGCAGATCCTCTTACTTCTTACCCCAAGACCAGATGGCCCTTGGGCGCCATAGCCCTCGGAGCCTTCCTCTCTCCCAAGTCCCTCAAAGCAACACCCCTTTTGAAAGCTGCCAGCTCTGACCTAGGGTTTGTTTGGAGGTACGGGGGCATCTTGTTAGTCACATAAAAACTGCTTCTCTTTCAGCCCCAGAGAGAGCCCTTGCTGGTGTGAGGACACCAAAGAAGAATGGGGCTGGAACCAGCATTTGGGCCCCCTTTAGGGCTGGGTTCACCAGTTCTCTGCTCATTCCTCCTCACCTGGTGGCCATCAGGTGCAGGCCCAGACTCTGTGTGATAAACTTTCTGGTGCACAGTGGCTTTCTTTTAATTTATTTATCTATATATTTTTTAGAGACAGGGTCTCACTCTATCGCCCAGGCTGGAGTGCATTGGCACAATCACTACTCACTGAAACATCGAACTCCTAGCCTCAAGAGATCCTTCCACATCGGCCTCCCAAAGTGCTGGGATTACAGGCCTAAGCCACCACGCCCGGCCCCCAGGGGCTTTCCGCTTGCCATCGATGCCCTCAGCTTCTACCTACCAGCAGAAAGTGCGAATCGTGCCCCATTCGAGGCCACCATTCAGCTGGGCTGCAGCGTCTTCCTGCGCATGGTGAATACACTACTCCCCGCTAGTGTCACCCATCATCAGTACAGCTCCTCCCACAGTTGGAAAATGGAAAAAGAAAAAGAAGTCTTTTCTTTTAGGGCTGCTGGGGCTCCTGAGGCAGAAAGGAGAAAAAGAGCATCTCAGAAAGGGCCCTCTGTGTGAAATAGGGAAAAGGGTGGCTTAGTCGTGGTACCTGTGGACCTGCCTCAAGCCTGCTTCTTATCCCCACCCAAGGTGTCTACTTCGCCTCTCCCTGATGGTGGGCAACCTGCTGGAGACCGTCTTCATTACCTACCTGCTGCACGTGGCCACCACCCAGCCCCCACCCCTGCCTCGGTGGCTCCACTCCCTGCTGCTCCACTGCACCAGCCCAGGGAGATGCTGTCCCACTGCGCCCCAGAAGGGAAATAAGAGCTTAGGTCTCACCCCCACCTACCTGCCTGGTAAGGGAAGTCAGCACTGCCCACACTTGCCCTTCACACTGGGCCCCACACTCCTCTAATCCTGTCCCCTTCCCACTTCGTGATTGAGCCTCTGTCCTCTCCATAGGCCCAAAGGAGTTGGGGGAGTTAGCAGGGAAGGAGTTGAGACCCAGAGAGATCAAGCTAGATGGGGGCTCAGGATGGACAAAGGCCCAGCTAGTGGAGCTGTGGGTGCAGTTCAGCCACGCGATGGACACCCTGCTCTTCTGCCTCTGGAACACCTAGGACTTGAGTTCTGAATGTGCGTGAGCAGCAGGGTTCAGCTTCCCTTGGCCTCAGCGGGCCGTGCCAGGCGCTGCTTCTCTGCTGCAGTCTGCAGACCCAGCCCCAACCATGCCATGATCCCTGCTCCAGCCCTCCCTGTGGTTAAATAGAACCACTGCTAACACTCCCAGAAACGATAATGTATTTCCAAAATAGAATAAATTCAGAATATACATGTTTATGTTAGAAATATAATTTAATGCAGGGCGCAGTGGCTCACGCCTGTAATCCCAGCACTTTGGGGACGGGCTGAGCGCGCGCGTGGATCAGGATAAGGCGCCGGATGTGAACCCGTGTTCAGAAAAGTACAAAAAAAAAGCACGGTGTCCGTTGTAATCCCACGTTTGACCAGGTGTGATCATGACAATTCGAGACCTCCTGGCTACATGGAGCCGTCATCTGGATGAAGCGCGCAGACACAAGGCGTGTCCGTCGCTTGTAACCGCAACGAAAAGTGGACGAAGAAACAAGCGGACGCGCGGCTTGCAGTGAGCAGAGATTGTCCACGAGCGGGCGACAGAGCGAGAACTCCGTCTGAAAAAAAAAAGAAAATGTACCGGCGGTGCTGGGCAGCCTTGTGAGTCCAGGCTCGGGAGGCTGAGGCAGGAGGAGGCAGAACCGGATGGCAGCTGGGCAGTAGCAACGAGCCAGACCCACCCAGCCAAGCAGAGCCGAGAGCGATCGCGCCAGAAAAAGAAATATAATGTATGAAAAGGACACTTTTATATAGGGACGTGCAATAGGTACCCAGAAAGTAACTCAGGTAGGTTGGTTAGGAGGGAAGGGATTGGTTGGGGTTGGTGTGGCCTGGTTGTGGAGACCGGAGGCTCGCCGGCTGCGCCAGGCGGGGAGGGCAGGGGGCGGAGCGCAGCTCGCGCAAGCTCCGCCTCCGGGGCAGCGCCATTTCGCCCGGCCTCAGCACTCCCGAGGAGCCGGGGATCAGGCGGCCACTCGCCGCTAGTGTGTTTGTGTTTGTTAGTAGGCGGGTTCACCGGGTCAGCAGGATGGTCTCGATCTCCTGACCTCGTGATCCGCCCGTCTCGGCCTCCCAAAGTGCTGGGATTACAGGCTTGAGCCACCGCGCCCGGCCAGGATTTGTTTTTTTAAACATAGGCTAACATATGTCATTCTCTTTTAATAAATATTTATTGAGCCGGGCGCAGTGGCTCACACCTGTGGTCCCAGCACTTCGGGAAGCCAAGGCAGGAGAATCACCTGAGGTCAGGAGTTTGAGTCCAGCCTGGTCAACATGGCAAAACCCTGTTTCTACTAAAAAATACAAAAATTAGCAGGGCGTGGTGGCACACACCTGTAGTCCCAGCTACTCAGGAAGCTGAGGCACAAGGATCGCTTGAACCCGGGAGATGGAGGTTGCAGTAAGCTTAGATTGCACCATTGTACTCTTGCCTTTTGAGACTCCATCTCAAAAAAATAACAACAATAATAATATTTATTGAGCACCTATTATGTGCTAGACACTATTCTGGGTGCTGAGGATACAGCAATGAACCAAACTGAGAGAAATCCCATCCTCATAAAGCTCACACCGTAGGGAGAGAGAAGAGACCAACAATAAAAAGATAAATGAATGAAACATCAGTAAAAGGAGAATGGGAAATGGGGGAGGGGTTACCAGTATAGGTTGAGTTGGCAGGGCAGAGCTCCTGATAACTTCTGCCTGCCTGGCTTCAGGCATTATTTCACAACACCCTGAGGAGGTAGAAATTACTTTACAAGAGGCTCAGAGGCTATGTAACTTACCTAAAGTCATGCAGCCTTTTTTTTTTTTTTGAGATGGAGTCTAGCTCAGCCGCCCAGGCTTGAGTGCAGTAGTTCGATCTCAGCTCACTGCAACCACTGTCTCCCGAGTTCAAGTGTTTCTCCATTCTCAGCCTCCTGAGTAGCTGGGATTATAGGTACCCGCCATCATGCCTGGCTAATTTTTTTATTTTAGTAGAGAGAGGGGTTTCACTATGTTGGCCAGGCTGGTCTCGAACTCCTGACCTCAGGTGATCTGCCCACCTTGGCCTCCCCAGCATGCAATTGTTTTAAGGCTTCGGTTTTTGTAGTTCTTTCTTAGGGTGAGGCTTCAGCTATGCATTTAACAAATATTTATTGGGCACAGCTGATAGATAGTAAGACCAAATGTCCTTGGCTAAACCCTGTTCAAAACCCTGTTCGTGAATCAAACACAAGCTCTGTCCTCAAAGAGCTTCTAGCCCAGCAGAAGAAATGAAATATGTGTGTTAAATAATTTCAATTAGATGTAGAACATGTTTTTAACGTTTTGCTGAGTGCCATTAAAGATAAACTACTATAAAGTTCAGGGGAGAAAGAATGCTTTAGTTGGAGCAATGGTTCTTAATCCTGGCTGCATATTAGAATCATCTGAGGAGCTTTTAAAATAATCCTATTGCCTACAGAGGCTACAGGATCTTAGTAGAATGTCAGATTTCAATCCTGAGGACACTCAAGTAATGTGCAAATTTTAGTTTACAAATGCATCATCTTAGCAACCCTGAATTAGCAGGTTATCAGGAAAGGTCCCTAGTGATATGTAAAATCAAAGACCTGAAAAAAAAGGGTTTGGATTTGCCAGTCCTTTAGGAGGCCCTCACCACCCCGCTGTGGGGACCTTACCGAGACCCCTCTGAGGTCATTGGTGACCTTGGGGTATATGCAAAAATGCATGCTGTGTGTAGGATACCTAAACTACCCATATTTTCCTGACTAAAATTTGGACACATTGTCAGATTCCTTTTTTTGATTTGTAAAATAATTTACATGAACAACTTTATAAAAATCTACAGATAAAATTGCATTCAGACTTAGTGAATTGCCTTCATTAAAAAAAAGGTTACATGAAAAGAAATATAAAAGTTTCAGAGAAAACAAAGATTACATGATAACTAATAAGCAGCTATGATTTTCCTCATTGACGTACTGCTGAAGTTGGCAAGTTGATAAAATGTTACTCCATTTATCCCTGTTGAGCAAGAACTCTGCTTAAGTGTTAAGGGGTCTGGTGTGTAGCAGAGGCATGTGGCTTCTGCAGGTTTTCATGAAAGGTTGTTAATTTAGGCCTTCTCTTGGAGTGGACACAGAAAGTTATTTTAATAATAATAGCCAACATTTACTGAATGCTTTCTATGTGCCAAGCTCATCACATTTCATTACTCGTTTGAAACTTGCAATAATTCTGTGGGGTAAGTACTGATATTATTTCCACTTAGCAGGTAAGAACACCAAAGTAGAAAAGAATAACACCCTTCGCCAGATCACACAGCAAGTAAGTGGTCAAACTGGGATTTGGACTCAAATTTGTCAAACTCTCAGTCTCCTATTTTAACACATCCAGGCCATTGCCAAGGAGTGCAGAAATTAAATAATTCTTTCTTTTTTTTTGAGACTGAGTCTTACTCTGTAGCCCAGGCTGGAGCACACTGGCATGATCTCAGCTCACTGCAACCTCCGCCTCCCGGGTTCAAGCAATTCTCCTGCCTCAGCCTCCTGAGTAGCTGGGACTACAGGCACGTGCCGCCATTCCCAGCTAATTTTTGTATTTTTAGTAGAGACCGGGTTTCACCATGCTGGCCAGGCTGGTCTCGAACTCCTTACCTAATGATCTGCCCCCTATGGCCTCCCAAAGTGCTGGGATTACAGGCATGAGCCACTGTGCCCCGCAGAAATTATATAATTCTTAACCATGAAAAACTAAACATTAGACTCTGAATTCAGAATGATCCCACCAAAGAAGTCCTATCTCACTCTACCTGATAACTCTTAACCTCAGAGTGTCAGTCTCCACTGTGGCCGCCTTTGGACTGACCCATCTTCCCCAGCTCTCAGAATTTCCTTGCCTCTCACAGCTTGTTCACATGCACTAATGAATGGATGTATAACTGGTGAGTTCTGAACAGACTCTCTGGATTGTACTGATAAAAGGTAATTTTCAGAAAAGGGCAAAATCATTACTCTCATATGAATGTAAAAAGGAGTATGTGTTAAAGAATTGGTTAAACTAAGATGATATGAGATCATCAGGCAGATGTTATAAAAGGCTCAAAGGAAACATCAAGAATCATCAATGTACATACAATAAAGATAGGAAATTGCAAATGGAGACAAAACTGGTTTTTCCAAGGGGGACTGGGGAGAAAGTAAATTGGAAGTCTATAGGACAAGATAGAGTTTGCATATTGACAATGTCCAACTTTACCTGAGTCCTGTGTTCCCAGAAAACAGCAATGGTTAAGAAATCCCCCAACCCTTTTGTGCTCTGGGAAATGGCTTACTACAAAGAACCACTCTTTCCCATATAAGTTAGACAAGACTCTGTCCATTCTTCCTCACGGTTCCCATAGGACTCACAGGTGACTCCCTTGTCCTGTGATAAGGCCAAACACAGCCTTTTCCCGTTTTGCCTGAACCTGCCAACAAGACCAGACACAGACCCTCCAACTCCCCATTCTTTGTCACATGAATGATTAGCTGAGATTAGGATGACTCATCCCCTGAAACAAGTTAGACATAGAGGTAAATATTTCCTGTTCAGCTAACTGGCCAAGACTTCCTCTGATTGCAAAACAACCCCAACAGTAAATCACTCCACCAATAACTTGTCTGCTCCTCCCTATAAAAATCTAAGACAAGGCCGGGTGTGGTGGCTCACGCCTGTAATCCCAGCACTTTGGGAGGCTGAGGTGGGTGGATCACGAGAGGTCAGGAGATCGAGGCCATCCTGGCTAACACTGTGAAACCCCATCTCTACTAAAAAATACAAAA